AGGTCCTGAGTTCAAGTCCTCCAACCCACAAAAATAAAAAATGTTCAGACAAGTTCCACCTTTGGCGTCCTCCCCTAAGGGCAAAGCTCCTCTCCCGTCCGACCCCGTGAGCCCTACGAAGCCCAGGTGTATTCAGAGTCCTGGCGGTCAGTCGCATCCGTACCCAGGCGTCGCTGGACTTTCCCAGTCAGGACTGGGCCCCTGGGAAGAGGAGGAAGGACGGATCAGCCCTTGTTTGTGGCTTTTTTTTTTTTTTTTTTTTGGTGGTTCATTAGAAATCAAGAGTCTCATGGATTTTCCTTCCCTGGCTGGATTTGAACCGCCGTCCTCAGATCTTAGCCTCGTGAGTGGCTGAGGATTACAGGTGTGAGCCATCAGTGCCCAACTACACTTTCCTCTTTTATTATTTTGTGCCAGTCCTGGGGCTTGAGCTCAGGGCCTGGGCGCTGTCCCGGAGCTTCTCTGGCTCGAGGCCGGCACTCTACCACGTGAGCCACAGCGCCACTTCCAGCTTTGTGTGTGTGTGTGTGTGTGTGTGTGTGGTGCTGAGCAATCAAACCCAGGGCTTCATGCACGGGATGAGCGCTCTGCCACGGAGCCGCCTTCCCAGCGCTAGTTTCTTATAATGAACACACACAGCCCACTGTGCCCGACGCCTCCTAGGGGCCAGGCTGGAGAACGGCCCGGAAACCCCATCACCGGGGCTGCACCTCGGCTTGGCCTGCAGGGACCCGCACCCATCCACCTGGCCTTTCTCCCTCCCGTCACCGCCTTGTCTCTCGGGCTGTGTCTGGAAGCACCGGGGCTGCAGGCGCGCCCGCCCGCCCGCAGCCCTCCGCAGCTGTGCGCCACCCAGCCATCACCGTGGCGCTCCACGCACCTGCTGTGAGCTCCTTCACTCGCTGACCCCCCCCCACGAATCCACAGCCCCCCACAGCAGCCCATCCGTGTGGCCGGCTCGCACCACGCACCGGCTTCCAAGTCCGGGCGTCCCACGCTGGGTATAAAACAGACTCACTGAGGCAGAGGGCTCACCTAAATTGACAAAAGCTGGGAACGGAGGAGGCTGAGCCCCGTGGAGCCCTCCCTCCCTCCCTCCCTCCCGCCGGTAGAAAGGGCGTGGGGGGAGGCCCGGCCGGCCTTTCGGTAAACAGGGCCTGGCTCTGAGTAGAGGCCGCTTTCTGGGACTAAGGCAGGTCACAACCAGGGGTGCTCTCGGATGGACGGCGCGGTGACAGGCGTCTCGACGGCAAGTGCTCGGCTTTTGGTGGGTCCTGTGGTGCTTCTGAGCCAGGGGTGCAGCGGGGAGGTGGAGGGGGGCCGTGTGAGGCCGGCCGAGCTGTTGGGCAGATCCATGGCGGCTGGAGAGCCCCCTTAAATCTCCCGTGTTTTGCTCACGGTTTTGCACACCTCTCCGTGCGCGGCGTGTGTGTTTCCTGCCCTCGTCCGTGGCCGGGTCCCGTTGACAGCTCTTGTTTGAAACGCACCCAACACGCGTGTTTTTCGCAACCGGTGGCTGCGTGGCCTGCAACTCTCCTCCCCTCGACGGTTGAGGCCGTGACCCCACACCCCTCTCCCGCTGCATTCGGGCCTGCCGTGTGGCCGGCGTTCAGTTCTGTGCGAACGGTGGGCGCTCAGGGGCGTCTGCCTTTGTCGTGGGAAGTGCCAGTCGGGTGTGGAGGCGTGGCCAGGCTGCTGCGTGGCCGGCCTCGCTGTCCTGCGTGGATCGAGGGCTCACGCGTGCCCGTGCACACTTGGGGCACGTCCTGTGTGCGCACCTGCGTGTCGTGTGCGCAGCTGAGCAGTGATCTGCGGTAGCGCAAGCGCAGGGCCTGGCATGTTTTGAGGGTTTCCAGCGCCGTAGCGGCGGCCGTGCGGAAGAGGCAGTCAGCACGCTTGTGATGACCGGGCAGACGGGAGCGTGCGTGTGCGTGTGTGCGTGCAGGTGCGTGTGAGCATACGTGTGTAAGGGGCTGGGAAGGTGGCTCAGTGGTAGAGGCCCTGGGTTCGACTCCTCAGCACCACATAAGCAGAAAAAGCCAGAAGTGGCGCTGTGGCTCCAGTGGTAGAGCGCTCGCCTTGAGCTGAAGAGCTGAGGGACAGCGCCCAGGCCCTGGGTTCAAGTCCTAGGACTGGCAAAAAAAAAAAAAGAAGAAAGACCGTGTCTGAACCACAGCTGTGATCGTGTGAGCAGAGATGCTTCTCGTAGCTTCTGGAAAACAGGTCGAAAAAATTGGCGGCGGCACGGCGGCTGTTTGGCTGTTGGGGGAGTGAGCAGCCGGCGAGGAGGGGCCCTCGAGCGTGTGTGTACCCCAAAAACACACGTGATGAGCTGTGACCCTCCAGGGTGGGGCGGAGGGGAGGGTCAGGCGTCTGTGGGTGTGTGAGGAGGGCCCGGGTGTGGCGGGGTGAGGGTGCATGCCGGCCCCCCCATGCGCCCTGCGTTTAAAACACTCGTAAGTGACGGGTCAGCCTTTAAAGCTCGCCCCCCCCCCCCCCTTTGTCTAAAGTTAGGTGTTTCTGGAGTTTGAACTCGGGGCTCCGCGTGTCCCGGACTCTTGCTGTAAGCCAAGCCCCCCGCCCCGTTGTGTGTTCACGCACGGTCTCGGTGTGGCCACAATGCTCCTCACGTGGCCGGGACGGCAGGTGTGCGCTGTTGTCGGCAGCCACGGGTCAAGATGGGGGTCTGTGTCTGCCTGACGCTGACCATCAGGACTGCGTCTCCCAGGTAGCTGGGGTTACCGGGGTGCGCACTCGGGGGCGTGGAGGAGGCCGGGGCCGGGAGGGGTTGAGAGGGGCTGGATGATGACACTTGGCCAGAGAACCCTGCGGGCATCCAGGCGCAGGGGACGGGGGGGGGGGGGGGCGGCGAGCCCCTCCTCACCAGGGAGACGCCGGCGTGGAGGTGCGGGCCAGGGGCTTTGCGCGGTGGACTAGCGTGGACGGCTGTGGGGGGCAGTAGATGCCGCCCCGCAGAGGCCGCCGCCAGCGCCATCCCGGGCAGCCGGAGGGCTGCGCCGAGGCCTCGGGAAGGGGCGCCCGGTGCCGAGGCTCACGCCTGCCCCCCCGGCCACTCAGGAGGCTGAGGGCCGAGGATCGCCAGCCCGGGCAGGAGAGTCCGGGAGCCTCTGATCTCCCCAGAACCACCAGCAAACCGGACGTGGCGCTGCGGCTCAAGCGGTAGAGCGCCCGCCTTGAGCTGAGGGGCAGCGCCCAGCCCCGAGTTCAGGCCCCACGGCCGACCCCCCGAAAAGGCAGGCGCGTGCTGAGCTGGGGCGGGGGCGCAACGTGCGTGCTGGGGTCCCCGCGGCGGCTTCCCGCGCTCCCTCCTCGGAGGAGCCGGGGCGGGACCCGAACCCCCGCCGCAGCCTCCAACTGGGGTGCGGCCGGCGCAGGGTCGGGGGCGCCGGGGTCAGGGGTCACGGTCACGGGGGTCGGGCGCAGGCCGCGCGCACTGAGGCTCACGCGAGCGCGGGGCGGGGCTCAAAGCCGCGGTGAGCGGCGCGGGCCGCGATCGCGCGCGGAGCCCTCGGGGCGGGACGGGGGGGGGTCGAGCCGGCCCCGCATCTCCCCTCCCCGGTCCCGCATCTCCCCTCCCCGGTCCCACATCCCCGCCGGCCCCGCATCTCCCCGGCCCCGCACCCCCCCCCGGCCCCGCACCCCGCCGGCCCCGCATCCCCCCCGGTCCCGCATCCCCCCGGCCGGCCCCGCATCCCCCCCGGTCCCGCACCCCCCCCCCCGGCCCCGCATCCCCCCGGCCGGCCCCGCACCCCCCCCCCCCCCGGCGCGCAGAGCCCGGGCTGGACAGCGGCTCTGGAAACGTCTAGAAGCGTCTCCCCGTCCCCCGGCGTGGCCGCCGACCCGGGCGGACCCTCGCGGGGCGCGCTCAGCGCGCTGCCGGCCGCGGCCCGCGGCGCCCGGCCCCACACTTCCCCGCGGTCCCCGCTCCTGACCCGGAGGCCGGGGCGGGCACGGGGCGCCCGGCCCCGCCAGGGTCCCCGCACCGCGCGTCCTCCTCCTCCTCCTCCTCCTCCCCGGGGCCGGGCGCGCGCGCAGGCCGGAGGCGGGGCCGCCGAGGATGCGGAGGCCGGGAGGATGGAGAGGACCCGGGGCCGCGCGGGGGCGGGCTCGAGGCGCGGGGGCGGGGCCTCGCGGACGGGCGGCCGCGCGCGCCAATCGGGGCGGCGGGCGGGCGGCGCGCGGGGGCGGGGCCTCGCGGACGGGCAGCCGCGCGCGCCAATCCCGGCGGCGCGCGGGGGCGGGCGCAGCGCTGCGGGCGGCGCGCGGCGGGCGCGGGGAGCCGGGGCCGCGTCCTCCTCCCGGGCGCCGCGGCGTTCGCGCACCGCCGGCAGGAGCAGCAGCGGCGGCGGCGGCTTTTCCCCGGCCCCGATTCCTGGTGGGTCTCGAGCCGCGGGTGCCCCGGGCCCCTTCGCCCGGTGGAGCGGGTGTGCGGGAGGCGTCCCCGCGCCGGGCCGGCCCGAGGCCCCCGGGGCGGCGGCGCCGCCCGCGCTGCCCTGCGGGGCGTCCGCGCGCGGATGGCAGCCGCCGCGGACCCCGGGAGCCCCGCCGGGCCGGGCCCCGTCTAGAGCCGCCCGCGGCCCGCTTTGTCCGCCGCGCGCGGGGCGGAGCCGGGCGCGCGGGGCTCCGGTGAAAGTTTCCGTTCCCGGCTGCGGGGCGCCCAGCGCGGGAGGCCGGCGGAGGAGGCGCTGACGGCCGGCAGCCCGGCGATCGGCCGCCCGGTGAGTGCGGGGCCGGGGCCGGGCGGGCGGCGGCGGGGCGCGGGGCACCGACTCACGCCGCTTCCCCGCGCAGGTCCTCCGCGGAGCCGCGGCCATGGCCCAGCGCGCGCGGGGCGCCGGGGAGCAGCCGCCGCCGCCGCCAGCGCCGCGCCCGCCTCGGACCCGCGGCCCCCGCCCCGGAGCCCGCAGCCGGCCCCAGCCCCGGGCCGCGGGGCCGCCGCCGCCGCCCGCCCCGGGTCCCCGCGCCGCGCGCAGCCTGTGATGAGCCGCAGCTCGCCGCGCGCGCCGCCCCCGGGCGCCCCCCGGCCGCCCCGCGCCCCGGCCCCGGCCCGGCCCCGGCGCCCCGGCCGCCGCTGGCCCGCGTCCCCGCTCGGCATGAAGGTGTTCCGCAGGAAGGCGCTGCTGCTGTGCGCCGGCTACGCGCTGCTGCTGGGGCTGACGGCGCTCAACCTCCTGGACTACAGGTGGCACCGCGAGGCCCCGCCGCGGCCCTGCGGCCCCGACGGCCCCGGCGCGCCCCGCCGCGCCGCCCTCCCGCCGCGCGCGCCCCCCGCGTCCCCGCCCGCGCCGCCGCCGCCCGCCAACGCCGACAACCGCACGGCCACGCGCGGCCCCCCGGGCCGGGCCGGGCCGCGGCAGCTGGTGTACGTGCTCACCACGTGGCGCTCGGGCTCGTCTTTCTTCGGGGAGCTCTTCAACCAGCACCCCGACGTGTTCTTCCTCTACGAGCCGGTGTGGCACGTGTGGCAGAAGCTGTACCCCGGCGACGCCGTGTCGCTGCAGGGCGCGGCGCGGGACATGCTGAGCGCGCTCTACCGCTGCGACCTCTCCGTGTTCCAGCTGTACGGCCCGGCGGGCGGCGGCGGCCGCAACCTCACCACGCTCGGCATCTTCGGCGCCGCCACCAACAAGGTGGTGTGCTCGGCGCCGCTGTGCCCGGCCTACCGCAAGGAGGTGGTGGCGCTGGTGGACGACCGCGTGTGCAAGAAGTGCCCGCCGCAGCGCCTGGCGCGCCTGGAGGCCGAGTGCCGGCGCTACCGCGCGCTGGCCATCAAGGGCGTGCGCGTCTTCGACGTGGCCGTGCTGGCGCCGCTGCTGCGCGACCCCGCGCTCGACCTCAAGGTGGTGCACCTGGTGCGCGACCCGCGCGCCGTGGCCGCCTCGCGCATCCGCTCGCGCCACGGCCTCATCCGCGAGTCCCTGCAGGTGGTGCGCAGCCGCGACCCGCGCGCGCACCGCGCGCCCCCCGCCGCCGCCGCCGCCCCCCGACGGGCACCGGCCGGGCCTGGGCGGCGGCGGCGCGCGCAAGGAGGGCGCGGCGGGCGGCCCCGCCGACTACCACGCGCTGGGCGCCATGGAGGTCATCTGCCACAGCATGGCCGCCACGCTGCAGACGGCGCTGCGCCCGCCCGACTGGCTGCGCGGCCGCTACCTGGCCGTGCGCTACGAGGACCTGGTGGGCGACCCCGTGCGCACGCTGCGCCGCGTCTACGCCTTCGTGGGGCTGCCCGTCAGCGCCGCCATGGAGCAGTTCGCGCTCAACATGACCAGCGGGCCCGCCGCCGCCGCCAAGCCCTTCGTGGTGTCGGCGCGCAACGCCACGCAGGCCGCCAGCGCCTGGCGCTCGGCGCTCAGCTTCGCGCAGGTGCGGCAGGTGGAGGAGTTCTGCGCGCAGCCCATGGCCGTGCTGGGCTACGAGCGCGCGCGCGGCCCCGAGGACGTGCGCGACCTCAGCAAGCCGCTGCTGCGCAAGCCCCGCCTCTGAGCGCCCGCCCGGGGGCGTGGCCCTCTGGAGCCCCGCCTCTGAACAACCTGCGGAGGCGTGGTCCTCACCAGCCCCGCCCCGAGTGCCCTTCCCCGGGGGCGTGGTCCTCACAAGCCCCGCCTCCGACCGCCCTCCTCCCCAGGGGCGGGGCCCCCGCAAGCCCGGCCTCTGCCCTCCCCGCCTGGGGGCGTGGCTCTAAGAAGCTCCGCCTCTGGGCGTCCCCAGGGGCGGGGCCCCCCGCCAGCTCCGCCCCCGAGCGCTGGACGGACCCACGGATGGGCAGAAGGAAGGGGCCGGCGCTGCGTCCTCGCGGAGCCGATCCTCGTAGTCTACCGTAGACCGGTCACGTCGCGCGGACCCGGGCTCGGCCGTGGGAGCGGCGCGCACGCGCACACCCGCGCACCTGCACAGAAGGGGCCGACGGCGCTGACCTCGGGCGCGGGGCCGGCGGCGGGCTGCGTGTGAATAAAGACCACCGAACGAGACCTGCGTCCTGTGCCTGCTTCCGGGCCTGACCCCGTGACCCCTCCGTGACCCCTAGATGGGCATGCACGACCCTGTGACCCCCTCCCCCCTCCATGCCACCTCGATGGATGGGCCTGACCCCGTGGCCCCCAGACGGGCGTGACCCCCTCCGTTTGCCCTAGACGGGTGGTTGTGACCCGGTGACCCCCTCCGCGCCCCCCGGCGGGCCTCGGCGCTCTGGGTTGCAGACTCTGGTTTGCAGACTCTGGGTTGCAGACTCTGGGTTGCAGACTCTGGGTTGCAGACTGGGTTGCAGACTCTGGGTTGCAGACTCTGGGTTGCAGACTCTGGGTTGCAGACTCTGGGTTGCAGCAGGGGTGACGCGTCCTCCTTTGACACTCCCCCGAAACCTGTGGAAGGGTTTTGTTTTTCCTCTGTGAGAACCCCAGAGCGTGTGAGTGTGAGTGTGCATGAGTGTGAGTCCTGGGGTTAAACTCGGCCTGGGCGCTGTTCCTGAACTGCTTTTGCACAAGGCCAGCGCTCTGCCACTTGAGCCATGGCGCCACTTCCTGCTTTTTCTGCTTCTGTGGTGCTGAGGAATCGAACCCAGGGCCTCAGGCATGCAAGGCCATGCAAGGCAAGCATGCTACCACTGAGCCACCTTCCCAGCCCTGTCATTTTTCTCTAAAGGTGGAGTCTCACCTCAGTAAGGAAGGCCCGTAGTTTGTGTTTACAAAGCGGGTGTACTGGTCTGAGTTCACTCCAATAGCTCCCGTCCTGTGTCGGAGGGGGGGGGGCGGGGGGGGGCCTGGGGACAGTGGCTCCCGTCCTGTGTTGGGGGGGGCCTGGGGACAGTGGCTCCCCGTCCTGTGGGGGGGGCTGGGGACAGTGGCCCCCATCCTGTGGGGGGCTGGGGACAGTGGCTCCCTGTCCTGTGTGTCGGGGGGCTGGGGTCAGTGGCTCCCCGTCCTGTGGGGGGCTGGGGACAGTGGCTCCCCGTCCTGTGGGGGGCTGGGGACAGTGGCTCCCGTCCTTTGGGGGCGTCTGGGGACAGTGGCCCCCATCCTGTGTGTGGGGGGGCTGGGGACAGTGGTCCCCGTCCTTTGGGGGCGTCTGGGGACAGTGGCCCCCATCCTGTGTGTGTGGGGGGCTGGGGACAGTGGCTCCCGTCCTTTGGGGGCATCTGGGGACAGTGGCTCCCATCCTGTGGGGGGGGGCTGGGGACAGTGGCTCCCGTCCTGTGTGTGGGGGGGGCTGGGGACAGTGGCCCCTGTCCTGTGTGTGTGGGGGGCTGGGGACAGTGGCCCCAGTCCTGTGTGTGTGGGGCTGGGGACAGTGGCTCCCATCCTGTGGGGGGGGGCTGGGGACAGTGGCTCCCGTCCTGTGTGTGTGGGGGGCTGGGGACAGTGGTCCCCATCCTGTGTGTGTGGGGGGCTGGGGACAGTGGTCCCCATCCTGTGTGTGTGGGGGGCTGGGGACAGTGGCCCCCATCCTGTGTGTGTGGGGGGCTGGGGACAGTGGCTCCCGTCCTTTGGGGGCGTCTGGGGACAGTGGCCCCTGTCCTGTGTGTGGGGGGGCTGGGGACAGTGGTCCCCGTCCTGTGTGTGTGGGGGGCTGGGGACAGTGGCCCCTGTCCTGTGGGGGGGGCTGGGGACAGTGGCCCTCGTCCTGTGTGGGGGTCTGGGGACAGTGGCCCCCATCCTGTGTGTGTGGGGGGCTGGGGACAGTGGCCCCCGTCCTTTGGGGGGGGTCTGGGGACAGTGGCCCCAGTCCTGTGTGTGTGGGGCTGGGGACAGTGGCCCCCGTCCTGTGTGGGGGTCTGGGGACAGTGGCCCCAGTCCTGTGTGTGGGGGCTGGGGACAGCGCCACCCGGGACCGCGTGGTCCCCGCGTTGCCCTTTGGCAGTGTTAGGACCGAATGACCTTGGGCCCCAGGGCCATGGTTCGCTGCTCGGTGTTGGTGCGCGCTGAGGAGGAGAGGGGCAGCGTCCTTGAAAGGCTGAATACCAACCCTCGTGTCAGGCAACTTCCCGGGCCTGGAGGTACGTGCGTGCGGGGCTCTGCCTGCGGTGACCGGGAGGAGGACCGCACCGGCTGCGGCCGCTGGGGAGGCGGGGAGGTGTGGCAGCAGGAGAGGAGGAGGGAGAGCAGGGGAGAGCCTGGGGGGGGGGGGCAGGGTGAGGGCCAGCGCTGGGCCCTGCAGTGCTCGGGCGGGTTCATGGACGGGGTGAAGGACGGGCCGAGGCCGCAGGAAAGCGGCTGTCACCTGAGCCCAGGGCCTGGGAGGCAGCCGTGGCGCGGCCCCACGGGAGCTAAGGGAGTGGAGGCAGTGTGTGCTCGGGTAGGCGTGGGGGAGGAGGAGGAGGAGAAGGGGGGGGCAGCCCAGGGAGGAAGGAGACCGGGCCGGGGCTGGGGCGGTGGAGGGGAAGCGCCCGTCCAGTCTGTAGCCACGGCCTCCAGCGCACAGGTGCACTCCGCCCTCTGCAGCTTTCTTACACAGGAGTGTGCACACGCACGCACACACACACACACACACACGCACGCTCACACGCAACACTTGAAGGACATCTTGGCAAGAGACTATTTCCTCTCTCCCTCCCCCTTTTTTTGGGGTGCTGGGGATGGAGCCCGGGTCCCGCTCTCTGATAGAGCTGTGTCCGCAGCCAGCCGGGCTGTCTCAGGGCTGTGAGCCGATGGGTGTTCGGTGGGGTCACCCTGAACCCCAGGCCAGGCCGGGGACTGAGTCTCCAATCCCACCCGCGCCGGGACGGAGGGGGGCGGGCCAGGATGACACCCACCATCTCAGGAGCGACAGACAGGAGGTGTGTCCCCACGTGGCCCATCGCCAGACCTCTGCCCCCCCAGGGGTCCCCTCCCAGCCTCTGCCCCCCCAGGGGACCCCTCCCAGCCTCTGCCCCCCAGGGGACCCCTCCCAGCCTCTGCCCCCCAGGGGACCCCTCCGAGCCTCTGACCCCCCCAGGGGTCCCCTCCCAGCCTCTGCCCCCCAGGGGTCCCCTCCCAGCCTCTGCCCCCCAGGGGACCCCTCCCAGCCTCTGCCCCCCAGGGGACCCCTCCGAGCCTCTGCCCCCCAGGGGACCCCTCCCAGCCTCTGCCCCCCAGGGGACCCCTCCGAGCCTCTGCCCCCCCCCAGGGGTCCCCTCCCAGCCTCTGCCCCCCAGGGGTCCCCTCCCAGCCTCTCTCCCCCCAGGGGTCCCCTCCCAGCCTCTGCCCCCCAGGGGACCCCTCCCAGCCTCTGCCCCCCAGGGGACCCCTCCGAGCCTCTGACCCCCCCAGGGGTCCCCTCCCAGCCTCTGCCCCCCCAGGGGACCCCTCCCAGCCTCTGCCCCCCAGGGGACCCCTCCCAGCCTCTGCCCCCCAGGGGACCCCTCCGAGCCTCTGCCCCCCCCCAGGGGTCCCCTCCCAGCCTCTGCCCCCCAGGGGTCCCCTCCCAGCCTCTGCCCCCCAGGGGTCCCCTCCCAGCCTCTGCCCCCCAGGGGACCCCTCCGAGCCTCTGCCCCCCCCCCCGGGGTCCCCTCCCAGCCTCTGCCCCCCCAGGGGTCCCCTCCCAGCCTCTGCCCCCCAGGGGTCCCCTCCCAGCCTCTGCCCCCCAGGGGACCCCTCCCAGCCTCTGCCCCCCAGGTGTCCCCTCCCAGCCTCTGCCCCCCAGGGGTCTCCTCCCAGCCTCTGCCACCCCAGGGGCCATCAGTGCGCTGTGGATGGGGGGGGCACTGTCAAGGCCTCCACCCACCCTCAAAGCGCAGGCCCCGGCGCGTGGCTGATCATTGACACGCTCGGAGTGGACCCGCGTCCCGTCCGGCGTCATCAAGTTGTGCCAAAGGAGGTGAGCGAGCGAGTCCCTGCGTGACACGCGCTGAGAGGTGCTGGGCCGTGTGCACTCCGGGGAGCCCCCCAGGCCCTGTGACCTTGGGAACGGGCCAGAGGCGGTCAAGGTCGAAGCAGGTTTTTGGTCCCAGCAGAGGGTGCCAGGGTGGCGGCGTCAGCGGCGGACGCCGGCTGGGAGAAGCTCCACTCCGAGGGGTTCGAGCCTGGGCGGAGCCCGGCAGACACACCTTCAGCTGCCCAGCAGAAATGGAGGATCGAGGTCCCGGCTGGGCCAGACGCCACTCCCCAACTCCCCCCCTTTCCCCTCCTCCCCACTCTTCCCCCTCCTCCTCCCTCCTTTTCCCCCTCCTCCCTCTTCCCTCTCTTCCTCCCCCTCTTCCCTCTCCTGCTCCTCCTCTTCCCCCTCTTCCTCCTCCTCTTCTTCCTCCGCCTCCTCCCTCTCCTCCCTTTCCTTCCCCTCCTTCTCCTCCCCCTCTTCCCTCTCTTCCCTCCTCCCCCTCCCCCTCCTCCTCCCCCCCTCCCCCTCCTCCCCCTTCTCCCCCTCCCCTCCCCCTCCTCCTCCCCTCCCCCTCCTCCTACCCCTCCTCCCCTCCTCCTCCCCTTCCTCCCCCTTCTCCCCCTCCCTCCTCCTCCCCCTCTCCTCCTCCCCCTCCCCCTCCCCCCTCCTCCCCCTCCCCCTCCCCTCCTCTTCTTTCTCTGGGCATTCTCTGTGTGGCCCAGGCTGGATCTGAACTCGCCACCCTCCTGACTGCTGTGTGCCACGGGCGCTCTTCCTGTCTTACGGAAGATCCCGATGTCGTCTTCGTGGCTTTTGTGTCAGCGGTGGAGCGGGTCCGGGCCGGTCGGGGCTGACTGAGCGCGGGGGCTAGTGTGGGCTGGGTTCTAGAACCCCTCTGTGGGACCCCGGACATAGTGGGCTGCCAGCCTCGGCTGCTGAGCGCTCAGCACACGCACAGCCATGGTGCGGGTTTGCACATGCAGACACACGGATGTGGTGCGGATTCGCACACCTGGGCACACGCAGGGCAGTGGTGAGGATTTGTGCATCAATCAGCACCCGCATGCCCGCCCCCCCCCATCACCCGCCCGGACAGCCGGTGTGGATTCCCGCTCTCCCAGGGATACGTGGACATCCAAACCACAGCCCCTCACGCTCCACCCAGCATCCCTGCCCAG